CCTGAAAGATCATGAAGCACCTGGCAAGCGTTTAGGAGCTGGGTGTATTTGAAATTCCTTTTACCAACAGGGAACACAAGGCACCAACCACTGTATGGATTTCCCCAAGACCAGAGAGCCAGAAAATAGCAAAGACTGGAAAAACAAAGAAAAAAAGCCACGCCTGTGCCCACCCACCCTTTGCACTGGTCTAACAAGTCTTTTTGTGCTAATTTTGTTGGAATCTCCTTTTTCTGCCTTCACTGACCACAGATGGGGCCATGGCAGTTCATCACCCTTAACCCAGGATTGATTCATCTGGGCCACACGGATAAGGCAGACGAAAGGTCAAAGAAAGATTACACGGGAAGGGAGGGACAGACACAAACTGACTGCCCCATATCACATATTAAGACTGTAGTTGAGACAGCCCAGATATAAGCCCATATAAGATATAAGGTCAACAGCCTGAGATGCTACGTCAGGTTGATGCCAATGCCTTACAAACTATAGAAAGGACAGATTCTTTTTTTTAAAAATACACTTGACCAGCAAATTCTTATTTCTCAGTCCCAAAGGGCCCAAATAACCTGCCTTTCTGGGAACAGGGGAGCCCCGTTTCTTTCCCATCCCCATCTTGACCAAGAGCCTAGCACTGACACCTCTCTCTTCTTGAAGCAGATGAGGAACAAGATGCTTTGCAGATCCATATAACAGGATCTTAATGTCCTCATCCCTCTGTTTCCCCAAATGGCTAAACAGGGATAATTTATCAGGAGTTTATTAGCCAGCTTTCAGCCCCTATCTGATGACAGATGAGTGTCAGGTATTCCTCCAAATAACAGTAGTAATTCTTACTGTTTCCACTATAAATGAATTGACAGTGCAGCTTCAAGACATGAAGTTTTAGCTACTGATTCTCACCAAGATTTCCTACATCTTTTTAGCACAGAGGTGGAATATGATGCTGCTTTGGAAGCAAGCAGCAGAGATTGCAGGCTCTGATAAAAATGAGCAATGTTAACGCCATCATGCAACTTCTCAAAAAGAAACCTGCTTTTCAATTAGAAGACCAATGATGCTTAAGAGATGCTGTGAACCTTTTTAGGGATGCCCTGCTGAAGTGTCACGAAATTTCTCTAATAAGAAGTGAACTGTTGCCAGCTCAGCCCTGACTGTAAGTAACGAGGTAACACAGTACAGGATCCGCATCCCGGGTTGGAGCACCTCATACGTAAGCTCTCATACAGCACTTCATTCTCCCTAAAGGAAACCCTAGAACTGCAGGACTATAATTTTCTTGACATTTCCTGACATATTTACAACACTGGCCAATTTATCAGCTCCTGTAGTACGTGGCTTATGTAACAGTACGATGGGCTGGGCAAAAGCCTTCAGGACTATATCGTCAGCTAAAATGTTCTGTTCAGCATGCACTTAGCGTGAGAGAGTATCTGCTGCCCTGCTGCCACCCGGGCAGCAAGAAGCACGAGCTGGGACCTCGCCACCCGGCCCAACAGCTCCGCAGGGGAAGGCAACTGAAGCTGCGTGGGTTTTTCATCCCTTGCAAGTGCACCTCGGTGCCACAGCAAACAGCCCAGGCATTTGATCTCCTCTACTTTTTTTGTGTAACACACAACTAAGGCCTCTTTTTACTTCTCTGGACTCTCTTACCTCTTCCAACCTTCTGGTCATCCATGACCTGATTAGGATGGCCTGTGAGTGGGTTTAAGGCATATTCTGAAGAGCAAAAGAAGGTGGGGAGTAGGTGAGTAGGGTGGATGTGAAAAAGTGTCGTGATTCAAATGTACTGGGGGGTTATCCAACTATATGCTTCACCTTAAATTCTCCCTTCTCTATATCTCACGACATAACGGAGAGCCATGGAGTAGTCCCTGATATGTAACTAGAACAGTATTGATGCACAAAAGTTATTCTGAGTGGTTCCTGCCTCCTGACTTTTTCTGCTACTCCTCTGCCTCCGCCCCCCGTCCCCCAAAACCAACCCCAAAACTCCCAAACAAAAATACCAAATTAACTTACGTGTTCAAGGAAACATGGTCCGATTTCACTGAGATGGGGGTCCTCGTTGTTGTACTGTTTCTCCAAGTCCCGGACAAAACCCATCTGAAATCTGTAGATATCTTCGATGTTACCAAAGATGATTTTTAGCTGTTCATCACTGAACATATCCCTCCTCTTCCGGCACTGCTTTAAGTAACCCTGTAAGGAGCAAGAAAGAACAATCCATAAAATAACCCAAACATTTATACTGAGGCTGCTCCCAGATTATTCTTGAGGAAGGAGCAAGTAAAAACAAAACCAGAAAATGGCTCTGAAAACAAAATCCATGACAGTCTCCATCAACTCCTGTCTATGAGTAAGCATGCAATAAGCAAAACATGCCTTTAAACACTACGAGTCCTTTTTTTGATAGACAACATCTCATTTGCAACTGTTGCTCCCACTGCAACCTACAGCAGACCCACAGCACTACTCTTGCTAAGGATGTGCCAGACCCAGTATGCACAGGGCTCCTGCGTCAGGAGACGCTGGAGACAGCGTGTGTCGAGTGCGCTGGGAGGACAGCGCTGGGTTCTGCCTCAATGTCCCTCAGCATTTTGCATGAAGCAGTTTTGCAAAGGGAAGGTTCCTCAAAGATCTCAACCAGCACAGCCTGAAACGGCTCTGCCCCTACCTGTGCTGCAGAGAACAGCAAAATTTGGTTGATAGCTTCAAAGAGGTGTGTTACACTATTGTGTGCCTGTTCCTTCAAAAATCACTGCCTCGCAATACCCAATATCCAGGGTAGCTCCTACAAACACTGCAGTTTCCATGTCCTCTTCAGTGGCACATGGTACTAGAGAGAAAGCTGCGAGGGGCTGTTTGATCATCTGCCCACTCTGATTTCTCCTTTTAGCCACAGCAATCAGGACAAGGAAGCTGATAATCATGCTGAGAAATACTTTATTAATGTGTGGTTGTGTGCCCTTGGTCTAGGAAGAGGGTATGGAGGGTGTAACCACCCTAGTTGTTTCAGCACCAAGTGAAATGTTGAAGGAAGACACTCTTCAAGCACTCCCTGACTTGGGAGGCAACATGGTTTATCCCCCCCATTATTCATCTTCCTGAGTCTGAGACAAAAGCGGGAGGCTGTTGTCCTGTGAGTGTCATGGCGGGGAAGCCCAAAGGCGATGCAGTAGGTTGGGTAGGTGTTTTGGCTTGCCCAAGCAAGGGAGCCACAGTGGGAGCAGCCCAAGCTGCTGATCAATGCCATCTAGAGGAAAGCAGCATTATTTTAATTTTGTTTTCTATACCCTCCATTCCATTAGCACAAATATGCTATTCCAAACAGAGTAAAATGAAGGAGAATTTTTCTCCTGTTTTCTCAACTATTCTTCCATTGCTTTTCTTCCTTTCTCAAGTGGGACCAGAGGAAAAGGCTTTGGACCCTTCTCTGTACAAATATCAGGCTCCTTTATTGAGTAAAGAACATTAAAGTCAAATGGAGAAAGAGAGAGGAAGAAGTAGGATGTAGAGAGTTTAAGGAAATTTTCCAAAAACACAGAATGAATTTGCAGTAGATTTGGAAACAACTCAGCTCTCCTGCATCTTGGTCCAGTGCAACAATAAAAAGATCCTCCTTGCTTATTCTTCATCTGCCCATGATACCCATTGGTACTGAGCCTGAGCTTAGCTGGACATTATACGAACACAAATCAGTAGGCAAGCACTGCTCTGAAGACCTCCTGACCTAAAAAGAGCGAGTGGATCAATATTTTGGAAAAAAGCGTAGCACACCAAGTTCTGTCTGCCTCCCTGTTTTGCTGACCCTGCCTTATCCATGAACTTGCCATCCTGGTTTCAGCTGAATCATGAGGACTTCAAACACGTTTGCCTGAAGCACATGTGGTCGAGGGGATGGGGTGACACATGGAGGGTTGGGATGCCTGGGCTGAATTTCTGGCTCTGCCGCTGACCTGTGTGACATTGAGCAAATCACTTCATCCCCCCCGTGCTTCGCCCGTCTGGACAATTTAGACTAGAAACTTTGCAAGGCCATATATCAGATGCTATGCTGGCCTGGTCTGGACTGCAGCCTCTTGACTGAAAAGAAATAACATGGGGGTCATCATGAGATGACTTTGCCTGCCTTTATTATATATGAAGAGAAAAAAAAAGAAGGGAAAAAAATGCCAACAGCTCCAGTTGAATGGCTATATTTGGGAACTCTAGATGCTTAGTCACACAGACGAACTGCCAGCTGGTGACAGGCAGCTGCTGGTCCACAATGCGAACTATTTGAACGCTGTAATAAACTGTCCTTCAGCCTCACCATGTGGTTCCTGAGAGGGAGAACTTCAAAAAGATGAATGACAAACGCAACTTTGGCCGACCTGGCAAAGAACCAATGTCTGTGATGTCCAGCTTAGCTAGAAGGATGCTGTTACCCTGAATTTGCTGGCTTTTTCAGCTGGAAAGCTTGGGTTATGGAATACTTTCTGCATTTACTAAATCTAGGTCTCTCTTCTTCCAGGAGCTCCTTGATGACTCATTTCCCTGGGTTTCCCTCTCTCATTTTTCAAGGCCAGGAGGAATGGGAGCAGGCTGGTTCCCACACTGCAGGACAGTTGCAGGGCAAATAAAAATTCAAAGTAGCAAGGAATAATGCAGAATATCTTTCCATGCTGCTTTTCATGTTTACCTGCTTATCTCAGAACAGCTTTCAAAAAAAAAAAAAAAAAGAAAAAAGATGTGCACTTGCCCACGAGGCCAGGCTCTTTTTCAACTGGCTTCGGTGCTAGCAGCGCTGAATGACTGCCTCAAGCCGTTTGTGTTAGGACGTTTGCCCCGCTGCATGCTGCAGGCTGCCTGCAAGCCAGCCTCCCTTCTCGCATACTGTTCTGTGCAATCAGTCACTGGATGCTTTATGTGAACGTCTTTCAGCCCTGGGGTTGCTATTGGCTGCGACTGCCGTCTTGAATACTCCCTGTCCTCCCTGTGCTGGTTCATCATTTTGCCTGAGTCACGTGTTTCAGAGAAGCTGAAGCAGCACATTTCTGCACAGGCACCTATAAAACCACACGGAAAATAAAAGAACGCATGGAGTTCCCAAGCGTTATCCTCTATCCAGCTTGTGTGTTTGGAGGATTGGTTTCCAGCACAAGCCAGCAAAGGGGAGACTGAAGATTTATATGTAATACACAGCAAGAGCCAGCTAGAAGGCTGCTGCATAGTTTTTCCAGTAAACTTACTTCTGTTACATAAAACAATGCCATCTTCCTCTGCTCATCCCGTCAGGTTTGCTCAGCAAAGGGATAGCTGACTGATGAGCAGATGTTGGAGTGTGTTTTGCTCAATTAATACCTAAAAATAGCTGCCAAACTGTCTCTTTTTAAAGTACTTTTCCATGTAGTCCCTGAAGTATAGGCCAAAGTTGGGAAGTATTTGCAGGAGGTTAAGTGCTAAGTTTTCTCCCCCCCCCCTCAGAGTGGGTTTAGAGACAAGCAGGAGAGGTGGCCAATCCATCCATCCTTCTTGTCCGGCTGAGAGCAAGGTGAAGGAGAGAATGAGGAGATGATAGCCACTGCAGGCTATAACTTCAAAGGCAGTTGTGATGATATTCCAGTTTCCTTCCATCCCTGAGCCAGTTTGGGGGCTGTCTACACTGTCCTGTAGACCATCCCTCGGTTTGGACCAGCACCATTTGGGCTATAAAAATACTCTTCTCTAGAGCAGCGCTCGCAGCATCCAGGTGAGCGTTTGCCGATACGCACATACCAAGAATAAGCACAAGAACAAAGTTGAGACTGTTTGCATTGAAAAGGCAAACTAGAGCCATGTCTGGACTAGGCAGTCAGGACTCTAAAGCACTTATTCAAATACCGGCCTACAGCAAGTGCTGAATGTCAGGCACTGTGATTGCATTGGGGCCCACCTAAAATATAAAATAAAGTCCTGCAGGAACACAAGCCTGTTCCTCAAAAGGGCAAGAAGCAGCCAGCTCCAAAACAGAAAAATGACGTGTGCACAGGCAGGCTGTGAAAGACAGCTACAAATCGCACATCGGGGAACACATATATGTAGTATATATATCCCCATCGATCCAAAGAGCTTTCTGCAGAGTTGCCCTCCACTCTGGTATCCATGGATGAGAAACTGGTCATACAAAGGGGCCAGCAGCTCCTCAGATGTGGTCCTCTGAAGGAGGGCCACATTGCTGCCAAGAAGATTTTACGCTGCTTTGCTCTGAAGCAGCACAAAAAAGTGGATTTTATCCCTTTCTGAGAATGAGTCAGGCTAATGCCATCCAGACCACGTGAAAACTTGTCCCATCAGCTCTGCACAACAGACCCAGCTTGACAGCTAAGATGCAATGAGATGTTTTCCACATGGCATTCAGAGCTGTCCTGGCACTAAAGCAAAGCTTAGGTGGAATCCAGTCAACATTATTAAAAAATAAATTCAAAGTGAAATTACTTGGAAAAGAGCAAAACGCAGCACTAGAAGTTGGCTGGCCTTTCTAACCTCCCACCCCCAAATTACTCATAATACGGAGGTTTCCTTTGATCTCCCAATTGCCTCACTATTCCCATCCAAGCTCTGTCACTTCTCCCTCTAACACCTCCTTAAATTTAGCCTTGTCTTCCTGATCCATGTGCTGGTCCAAATCCTGCTCATTTCTCAGAGCACGGCACCCTGCTCTTTGCAGCCCTCCTGCGTCTCGTTCTTCCACCTGCGCTCCCCACCTGCCTGGCCCTCTGCTCTCATCAAGGTACCCGTCCTGACTGAGCACCTCTGCTGCGCTGCTGGTGTCACTGCTGCCATGTCACGGACAGACCCTGCGCCCTCCTGCATCCTCCCAGGATCAAACCCCAGGTGCAGGGGGATACCTTTTCAAGCCTGGAGATGGCCATGCATATATGTGATGCTTTACAGCACTGCCTGCCAGTAAGGCTGCCTATTGCTACCCATTATAAAAGCTTAGTTTTCAGTAGCTTATTATTTTTCTAAGCTCTAACCACCAAGCCTGAAATTCCTAATGCAGGATATTTCCTTAAGACTAAATTCCTTTTTCTTTCTTTTCCCCTTGGTGATATTTCAGAATAACGATCCATCCACTCCTTATAATGCAGTCCAGGGAAAAATCCACATTTTACCTCTAATAAAAATCTTCACAAAACTGTTTCACTAAGCAGCAGTCAGTCCTTCATACTCTAAGCAAGGGCACAACAGCAGCAATATGGCTTTGCTGTGGTGGGGAATTCCCCTCCAAGCCAGCTGCTTCACACAGGTCTTGGCTTGTGCAGGTAATTTTCATTCTGGTGCTGGCTAGCTTGCGAGCTCCTGACTTGGCAGGACTAGTGTCATGGGTATTATGAATAATAACATGGTGTATAATAATATAGTAGCAGGTAGTGAAATACATCCTGAAGCAGAAAAGAGCAATTGGAGGGCTCTTAATCACCTAGCTGGGCTACGGTCCTCTGATAACAACCACACATCTTAAGGTGCCTCGCTGGTATTAGGAATTGTTATTCATTATAGCTCAGCAACAAGAGTATAACTACACACTGCTAAACTCAGTACTAAATCAGGCTCAACCTTCGCCACCCAGCCAGAACTCCTCTTTCATCCCCTCCAATACGTCATATCACTGCTGTTTGTCCTGACACCTTAAAATAAAAAGCAAAGGGAAGAGGGGAATTTGCCACTGTCAACAGCACTTCTGCATCTCATCAGCGGTTGTCTGGAGTCTACTCGTTCTTTGGCACAAATAACACCTCTGTACAAATTCATCCAGTAGCGCTGGGAGGAGCTCAAGCTGGCCCGCGTCTCTCCGTCTCCAGTCCCCCTCCTCTTATGCACAAATAGAAACAGTCACGTCATGCTATGCCGACATGCCTGGGATCACTGAGCTGTCTCCAAGCCTTCTCGAGGCAAATGGATTGCTCTGATTAAACTGAGCACAATGAGGCTCTCTCCAGCAAGGGACAGCCCATTATTTTGCAGATGAGAATGCCCATTTCAGTCCTCCTCCTTCTTTAAGAAAGGCAGCTGAATAATTTCCTGGTGCTGTACCTGGATTTATCCCCTCAATACTATTTTGCATCACACAGAGCAAGGCAAGAGCCTTAGAGATATCTTTCATATCTGGGACATATCGTTAGTATATCAGTGTTACTCCACAGATGTCGCTGAAGCTATACCTATCTGTATCTCCTGAGAATCTGATTTGGAAAAAGCATGGTGACATGGCTGGGAAATGCAAGTTAAGGTTTATTTAGTTTTTCAACAGAAAAGTGCAAATGCAGGAAAAGAAACAATATGTGGAAAAGTTCCTGCAGTTCTTCCCTTCTTCAATGCAAAGCCCTCTGACTGAAATAGCACAGCGAAATTAAGCTCATTTGTTTCCAAATTGAAATCCCACGACTCTTCTCTATTTGAAAAGCATCATAGATGCTTTTTGGATGGCTGCTTTGCCTTGTCAATAGAAAAGTAGCAAGTATGAAGGGAGGAAGACATTTTTCTAAGCAGAATTCACAAGGGGCTTTAGCACATTGACTCTGCAAAGACTGGGCACAGGCTCGCTAAATCCTAAACACTCAGAGGGATGAGCTGAAAGCCATGGACTTTGATTTTAGTGCTAACAAACTGTCTGCCTCTTAGCGATAAGTATATGCTCTACACACAATGCCCAAGGTGTCCTGCAACACTCTCCAGTGCAGCCGTGCATTTTCCTCCCCAAACACCCAGCACCGCATGCACTGCACTTTGGGCTTAGCTTGCGGCACTAGTTCTGTATGCTGCAGGTCAGTAAGGGGTTGTAGGGGTTAATTGTAACATAATGAAGGAGAATCAAGTTGGGGACGTGAGGGGTCAGTCACCAAAGTTCACTTGCTTGCTGGTTCCCTTACAGTGGATAAATGTAATGTACTTCATTTCCCATGGTGAAAACACTTTGCTCTCAGTCTCGCTGTAAGAAAAGGCAAACGGGGGCCATCCTGAGCCAGGGGAAATTGTGAACCCGACATGAAAGACACAGATGAAATGGGTAACTGATTGGTTTAATTACAACCTAATTTCCTCAATCACAAGTTCAAAAGGGGATGGCATCGGGTTTTAATTAAGAGGACTGCTTGAAGGATCTCAACCTCATCATTTTTTAGTCAAAGAGGTATGGAAAAAAGGTCACAAAATTGTACTTTCAGTTAATACAAACTAAAGGTAATTATCAGATCCAGCGGAAAATTCTCAGAAGTATCAATACTTATTGACAGATGCTGCTCCTCTATTAGACACAGTACTCAAACACACTGCATCTTTTTCCCCCATCACCCAAGGACAAACCCAGTCCTTGGCTCTCAACAGCCCATCCCACGTCCTGCTGCAGTACCCCATCATCACAACTCCCATGTACCTCGCAAATGTCCTTGAGGTGCTTGATGTAGTGGCGCTCCGTGCTCATGATTTCATTGATGACGTTGGCTCTCATCTGGTCTCGGTTCTGAACGGTCCTGCCGTCCCTGCCGAGACAGAGGCAGTCGGCGCTTGGATCCAAATGGCCATTCTGCACATCGCTGGTTCCCTCCTCCACTCCATCTTCTTGGTTTACCCATAGCTGCGAGGAGAAGAGGGGAGAGCAACAGGCTTATTCATAAAAGCATCAGGAAGCCAACGAGTGAAAGTAGGCTGGGTCTTGGGTTGCATGACTCTGGGAGATACTGGATCGACTCCCCCCTTACAGCATCGGCAATGCTCTTGCCAGCGATGCACAGCTTACAGCCCAGACAGTCCATTTTTATACTGGTGCAACCAGCCCCAAATGGTTCCCTGCACACTGCCAAGTTCCTCTCGTAAGCAAAGGGATTTCAAGTGTTGACAGTTTTGATCCCAGATATAAAATAATCATGTGAAAGGGAACTGGACTGTTGGATGCTGTCAAGTGCTCTGAACCAAGAGGTACATATGTAAAACAGATCAACCTAAAGAAAACTGCAGTTACTAGTGTAAAGCACTGCTTGTCCCAGTTCCCGCACACCATCAGCTGGGGTCTGTCCGAACAGAAAGAAACCTCTGGGAGGAGGGATAAGCCCTTCACAGGTGACTGATTTAAGAAGGTCAAGATACGTCTGGTTCAGAAATCTGAATGAATGTGAACATCAGCCCAGGCTCACCGGGTTGTGGCACTGAGTTTTCTGTAAACTTTCCAGGCCAGGATTTGTGAATGAGCATTGATTTTCATTTCACAGCAGCCTTCCTCATCATTTCACATGAAAAGCCTTTCTCGCTCAGGCAAATGCCCTATCTCAGCATCCTGAGATGGTGATCCCTAAACCGCACTGAGATCAGCCTGGCTGAGTAAGTCTCCTGAAACCTGGAGAGGCTGAGGGCAGCTTTGGATGGGGTGCCAAGCACCCCTCGGCACTGAATACTCTAAATTGAAACAAATTGCAAAAAGCAATGAAAAAGGATCACTGCATGTTCAGCACACTGAATTTTCTTTCCATCATCAAATAAAAAACACACACTGAACTTGTAAACTAAAAAATAGCGCTGCCTCCCAGTCTCTGTGTCTTTGAAGACGACTGTGCTCTGCACACAACATATGGATCAAGTGCCTCCTTTTGTTACCTTTTCCCCCAAATAAAACCTGCTTAAAATAACTCTGACCAACTCCAATTTGGCTCAGCATAGTTTCTAAGCAAACATTAAATAAACCTTAAAACAGACAGAAATACTGCTATATTACACAGATCACCAAAGTTGTTATGTAAATGAAGCAACTTTTCTCCTCAGCATTTAAAGCCCCAAACACTGGAGACTTTCAAACATAAAAATACATTGAGCTTTGTGTCCACGCAAACAGAAAACAAACTGCGTCGTTAACCTGATCTTTCAGTCTTCTTTCAGTGTTAATAGTTTTTAATACTTTCCCATTATTCAGCTTAAATTCAGTTTTAAACAGATTGTAAAGGGCTGTGTTCCTGTAAATTAGTAAAATAAAAGAACCTAAACCTGCCCATGCTCCTTCCCTGCTTTCCTAACTTCCCTGCTTTTTAGCATGTTTTGCTAAACCATTTCTTACAGCTCCCACGTTTTGTCATCCTACAGTGAGTTATAAAGGCCAAGAAGCCGAGATGTTTGAAGAAAACCCATGTCTTCTCTAGCAGAATGTTAATGATACCGCAAACTTAGGGGATAAAAAACCCCAAAGCAATAAAAAGCCAGACTTTTCACCCTGCTCACACCTGTGCCCTGTGTCCGGGAGCTATCAGGGACTTTCCAGGAGGGTGTGTGGGGCAGCAATGCCAGTTTAAATGACAAGATGCCCTCTTTGCTGGCAGTGGGGCAGGACCCTCTGGGGGCATCAGCCCTATGCTGAGCGTTGCAGAGCGCTGCTGACCCCGGGCTGTGCTCACGCCATGTCCTGGCAGCGCCGGGCACTTTCCAGGGCAGGAAACCCAGTGCAGACCGTTTGCCTGAATGAGCGACTGGCAGAGCCAGGATGGATCCGGGCATCCTGACTGCTCTGCCCACGCGATCTTCTACCTGCCCCCCACCCTGCATTGCCAACATGGGACCTCCTTTTGCACCTCAGGGGACCAGAGGGACATGCTGAAGCCTGCCAAGGAGGTGAAATAACCCCTCCTGCCACCTCGGCGCTCCTCCCGCTGCATGAAGGAGCCATCCTCAAAGTACAGAGGCTTCATACCTTTCCCCAAGATAGCGCAGCCGACAGTCAATTTAATGTCTTGTGTGACAGAGCAGAAGCAAAACCCAGCGAATATGGCTGTCAGCTCTTGTTTCTTATGTCCCGGTGCACTCCAGGGGGAAGGGGTGCGTCCGGGCACAGAATGGCCATGCGGTCCTGTGGTGCTGGCAGGACCCAGGGTGGCTCGGCTGCAGTCAAAGCAGGGCTGGTCCTAAGGGGGAGCAGCCCTGGGTGCTGCAGAAGGGCAGTTCAGTGACCCCAGCCAGGTCCAGCTATGCCAGTTTGGACACAGGAAACCCCTGGGAGATGCAGCATGCCTGGGAGCAGCTCTGCATGCCTGTCCCCAGGTCCTTCCCACAGGACGGGGTTCTCCATCGCGGCATCTGCCGCAAAGATGGACTAGGTCAGGTGGTCTCCCAGTTGCGGGGCTGCACATGGATCTCTGAAAGGGCTTTTTGTAGGATTTCCATCAGCACTGGGAGGCCTGGTTGAGCCCTGGGTCACTGCAAGGGAAGGCAGCGAGCTAGTGATCTAATCACACCCAAAGATACAGGGATCCAGCATGCAAAACCTCTCCTGGCATACTGAAGCAAATCTCAGAAGAATGTCACTTGTTCAGAGAAACAACCCAAAAGCCAGTTAGAAAACATGCCTCTTCCCAGCAAACCCCACTCTGCTCTGGAAGAGGTTTCAGTTAGACTGAGATAGAGCAACGCTTCACGTACATAAGCAGTGTTTTATGATGTTTTATGATGAAAAATAAACATCCAATGCTGCTTCTGAGTAACTGCCATGCTGGCATAAGTCTGCCAAAACGACCTTGGGGGCCAATTTACTTGCATCAGTGACACTGATTTTAACCGGGGCTCTGCTGTGAAAACCTGGGGGCCATCCTCCGAAGAGAAAATGGGCTAGACCTGGGAAGGACAGAATTGCAGGGGGAATCCTTTGAGGAATATATCCTCATGACAGCTTCATTGGCATTCCAAACCAAATATATTTTGAAAATCAAGCAGGACTAATGTAGGTATTAAAAGCTGTTGGTTGAAGTTTAAAATAACTTTCCATCCTACCTTCCTGCTACTATGAAAAGGTATTTTGCAGCTCTCCCAAACCCAACTGGAACAGCTTGTTACCGAGTTTCATGACACTCCAGCCAGTTTGGCCACAGAGGATATTTTTAAAGCTCTACCTCCTGGAGTCAAGTGACCATGAGAAAAATTTCAATTTTCACTTAAAAAATAAAGCAGGAAAGATCTAATCATAATAGTAGTGGGGGGAAGCATGAACTCTAAAGGCTTTGAAACTCTAAGGCAAATAGCAAGCCTGCAAACTCTCATGATTTCTGAAAACCTCAGAATTTGGTCTGTCTTTTGTGCACTGCAGGAACACTCCCTGCTTCCACATCTGGGAATCTCAGGAGTCCTGCTTTTTTCCTTAATGAAATTTTTGCTCCTTCCTGCTAGGATTCATGTTCCCAAAAGGAAAAAATTACAGTTCTAGTCTAGATGACTTCTGCTTTAGATTAAAAACAAACACAACAATTTTATAGGTAACAGAGGAAGCCAAACGTGCCTTCCACCCCACGCTCTCCAGCCTCAGCTGCTGAAAGGATTAATCCCACTGTGCTGTTCAAACACTCCTGCTTTCTGTCTTAACCTCTAAAGTTCTCCATAACTCAAGCAAGGATCATTCTTTCAGGGGATCATTTGAAGTTTGGGCTATAACTCACAAAAGGTGAGGTACACTAGCAGCTCTGCTGCTGACCTTGGGCCAATCACTTAAACTGGTGGAAGCTTTCCCCATCTATAAACGGGGATAATCTACCTTACCAATGACATTTTTCATGAATATTTTTGAGGTTGACAGACTTTATGTTGAAGCAGAGGGCCTAGAAAAGCTCATGCATACTTTGAAATACAGACTTAAATGCATCACTCTGGGCTCGCTGCACTCTTGTATTCATCCATGAGCAACAATCTGGCTAGACAGACCTCTGGTCTGACGCAGTATGGCTGGTTTTGCAATTTCAGCTCTCAAATCCTCTTGTGCCTGTGCTGAGAAGGAGCTGGGCTATGTTGGGACAAGGGAAGGCTGCACCTAAAGTGTTAATTGTGTCCTCTGACCCACCACCACCACCCCAAGCCAGATCCTCTCTGCTTCACTGACCTGCTCGCTCAAACCGCAACGATGGTGTGCTGCAGGCGACAGCAAGGTGGAAGAGGCAAACTGGGGGTGACACTGTTTTTTCCCCAGTAACTTATTAAATGTCATATTTAGTTGATTTAGACAATGCTGCAAACGTTCCTATTTTAGCCCAGTCCACAGGCACCTGTAAGTAGGGTGTTCGCTACGTTTTAGACACACGTGACTCTCCCAAAAACACTCTCCTGCCTGAAATGCTTGACCTCCGTTGCTGCGGATAACAATGAGATACCACTAATGGAAAAAGGGCTCTCTCTTCCCCAGCTTTTCCAACATGCACTGGACACAAATGCACAGATGTACCCCCCTCCCAGTGCAAATATCTTCTTTTATAAAAGAAACTTCAAAATTCTAGTTTTCTCCCAGTTTCACCTCATCTCCCCAGTCTTCCCTGCTCAGGATGGGTGGCTGCCACCCCTATGAAGCTCCTGTGGGGCTCTCCACAAAGCAGAGATGGGACTTCAGTTCCCTGGCAGCTTGTCAGTTCTGCCGCTCACTTGGATTTCAAGAAGTCTCTCTAGGCTCCTGTCCTCTCCTCCTCAGCAATTAGGGGCTGTGGCTTGGCACAGACGGGGTGTTTGGGATACCAGCCTGAATTACTGCACCCAATGCCAATTTTTTTTTTTTTAAAGAATAAATAATAACAGCTGTTCAGTAATCATCAACAACCTTACAATAATAAATCAGCCTTCAGTGCAATG